GGGATGTTAACGGAAAACTCAGTAACAAATGGAGGCAATGAAAAATGACGGAGCTATCCAACTATTCCTGATGAACTCCCTAAGAAACTACCAGCTTCATAAGGTCAACAGCAGCCCCATCAAATAGTGCTAAACTTTCTTCTGCCTGGTGTGCCCTTCCTCATTTCAGAAACCACCTCAATCCCTTCCTACTTTCCCTATTTTCCTATTCCTACCTAGTATGCATATCAGAGTCCTATTTCTCCTCCCAACTCCAGTTAAAATGTCATCTCATTCAGGAAGCCTGTGCTGTTCATCCCCTTCTGCCAAAGAGTTAACACTTCCTTCCTTTGTTCTAAGTTTGCACCAGATACATACACCATAATCCATTCACATGTCTGCCTTCCCTACTAGATTATGAGTCAATTTCTTAGATGTGCACTGCCTACGTTTTGGATCCCTAGTGCCCAAAACAATTCCAATATCAAAGCAGGTGCTCAATAAATATTTAGTGAACACATGAATATCTGAAGTAAGAGTCAGTCACCAAACAGCAATGAATCCATTAAACCTACTTGCAATCATCAATTGCTTTAGTCAAGTCCCAACTTTTCTTTATCATGGAGCTTACATACAATGTGGATGAATTACTAAAGATTTTTATTTTTACAGAAAAGCAACTGACAAAACTAATTATAGAAATGGAATTAACAGTTTAAACTAATACAGTATGCCAAGTACATGGGATTGTGTGGTAGTTCAGTTTGTGTGTTAACTTGGCTGGGCCTGGTTGAGTGGCTGGGCAGCTGGTGGTAGTTATTCCTCATGATGAGACTGGTAATCAACTCCATGGTGGAATCTACTGTGAGCAGCTGAGTAGCTGCCTTTGGGATATGGTCTGCTTCCTATATATAAGGAGAAGCCTTGGGAATTATCTCTAGCCTGTGGCACGCTTGGACCCTGCATGTAGCCATGTTATTGCTCAGCAGCCTGCTATGCTCTGCTGACCCTGGGACTTACAATTGACTTAAGATAATGGCCTGCTGTGTGGTTTGGTAACATCAGGACTGTGCCTTTTTATTTGTCAACCTTGGGGCTCCTCAGCCTCAGCAGCCGGCAGCTGTCTGAGTAAAGAAGCACCTCTAGCTCCAGTGGACCAGGAGCAGGAGGCAGAGCTGGACCCCAAGGTTGAGGGGCTTTCACCCAGCCCTTAGAACCTGGCCCTTTGAACTTGGACTTAAGCCTTCAAATTGTGAGAATAAACTCCTGTTTGTTAAAGCCATCCCATTTGTGGTCTATTCCTGTCAGAGTGGCACTAGGTAACCAGAACAGAATTTGGTACCGAGAAAGTGGGGTGCTGCTCTGACAGATACCTAAAATGTGGAAACAGGAATGGAGTGCGTCCTTGACCCGAGACCCTGGCAGAGAGACCCTGGCATATAGCATGACAGACAGCAGGAGCAGAGAAAGAGATCAGCATGAAAGATGGCAGGAGCAGAGGCCCAGAGACTGGTGTGAGACAGCGACAACCTTACCAGCCCACGGAGGAGAAAAGGAGAAAGCTTGATGCCTTTGGTTAGGCAGCTTACTGGCAGAGTGGGTTGCCTCTGGGCATTAATTGGTAGAAAAGACCGGCATGAAATGGAGTAGCAGGTTGGCCAGCCCACAGAGCAAGAAAGCTGAATGCTTTGAGGGCAGGAAGATTTCCAGCAGAGTGAGTTGCCCACAGGCATTAATTGATAGAAGCAGAGAGACCAAGGAAACGGAAGCAGAGCTGCCTCAGCCTCAAAGGGTAGGACCATGGCCTTTGGGGGTAGAACCACCACAGGCCCCTAGGTTTTAAAGAGCCAGGCCTTCACCAAGTTGGTTCTGGAGTATGGAGCTGCTCGTTCGTGTGAACCAGTGGGATGGAGCCATAGCCACTGCCCAAGAGTGAGGGGGCGGGGCTGCCATGCCCAAGAGGGAGAGGAATGGGGCCCTGCCAGGCCAAGGGGGTGAGGTCGCCACTCAGGAACTAGGGGACTGAAACCGCCCAGGGAGAGAGATGGGTACAGATTCCACTCAATGAAGATCTGTACAGATGCCAAGTTGACAAAGGGTGGAATTGTGGTAGTTCAGTTTGTGTGTCAACTTGGCTGGGCCTGGGTGAGTGGCTGAGCAGCTAGATGTAGTATTCCCCATGATGAGATGGTAATCAAATCCATGGTGGAATCTACTGTGAGCAGCTGAGTAACTGCCTTTGGGATGTAATCTGCTTCCTGTATATAAGGAGAAGCCTTGGAATGGTCTATAGCCTGTGGCACGCTTGGACCCTGCATGTAGCCATGTCATTGCTCAGCAGCCTGCTATGCTCTGCCGACCATGGGACTTACAATGGACTTAAGTTAATGGCCTGCCATGGGGTTTGGTAACATCAGGACTGTGCCTTTTTTACTTGTCAACCTTGGGGCTTCTCAGCCTCAACAGCCAGCAGCTGTCTGAGTAAAGAAATGCCTCTAGCTCCAGTGGGCCAGGAGCAGGAGGCAGAGCTGGACCCCAAGGTTGAGGGCCTTTCACCCAGCCCCTACAGCCTGGCACTTTGAACTTGGACTTAAGCCTTCAAATTGTAAGAATAAACTCCTGTTTGTTAAGGCCATCCCATTTGCAGTATATTCCTGTCAAAGTGGTACTAGGTAACCAGAACAGAGAGATAACCACTGACAGAGTCATTAACATAACTGAGTTTCTAAGAATCTATTTCCTTAGAGCACTTGATGCCAAAATAGGTATCAACGGACAGGAAGGTTTAAGTCCAGGGCTGCCTAAAAGGTAGGGATATTAAGATCCATTTTCAATCTTACAATCCCTCCAATTGTTAAGATGCAAGGGAAGTAGCTTCCTGCCAGATATACTAAATATCATCGCATACATACATGAACTTACTGGCCTGGCTACTCAAGCCTCTCTGTGACAGCCTGGGAAGAAAATAAATTCCAAGTTTAATCACAGCTGTGGTAGGCAAAAGGTGTCCCTGGGTGGCACAACTGGTTAAGTGCTTGGCTGCTAATTCAAAGGCCAGCAGCAGTTTGAGTCCACCCAGAGGCACCTTAAGAGAAAGGCCCAGCAATCTACTTCCACAAAATAGCCCTTGAAAACCCTATGGAGCACAGTTCTACTCTGACACACATGGGGCTGCCATGAGCCAGAATCAATTCCATGACGGCTGGTTTGGTTTTCAGTTGATGGTATGCAGAACAATGGCCACCCAAAGATGTATACCCCCTTATCACCAAACTTTATGAATATGTTACCTGGTAAAAAGGACACCGCAAGGTATCATTATGTTAAGGATTTTGAGAGAGAAGGATTATTCTGGACTATCCGGGTCACCCCAACGTAACCATAAAAGTTTTTATAAGAGGGAGGCAAGAATCGGGCTGGCATTACCTGAGGTAGATACACTCCTTGGAGAGAACCATCATGGGAGAAAGAAAGGCTGTTTATTCACAGGGAGATAGCTCAGGGGGCAGGAGTGCATAGAGGAATGGACACAGGGAAGAGGTAACTATTGGGAGGAGTGGGAGGTGAGCTGTTGCATTGTGGTGAATTGTGGTCTATGTCATGAGACAAAGTGTAGGTGAACTGCTGTATGGAAAGTGAATTCGCTCTATATTTTCACCCAAATCACAATTAAAAAAAAATAAAAGAAAGAATAGGGCTGGCAAACGATGTTTCTACATGCATATCTGTATGTGCTGTAAGAATGTCTGGGTATATAGTAGAGCTGACAAGGAATAAGGTTGTGGTAGCTTCTTAGCCACAGCCAGCCACCCTGAGGGAGCAAGTAGTTGGACCTGTAGACTCTGGACCATGGTCACAGGGGACATCAAGCCCAACTGGCATAACATACTACACAAACACACTGTTCTACAGCCTACTTTGGCAAGTAGCAACGGGGTCTTAAAAGTTTGCAAGCTGCCATTTAGATGCAACAGTGGGTCTCTTCACCCAGAGCAAAAAAAAAATAAAGAAAAGCAAAGATACATGGAAACAATTAGTCCAAGGGACTAGTAGACCATGTGATCCTCATGGATATGACCATGAGACCAGAAGAACTAGATGGTGCCTGGCTACCACTGTCAACCACTCAGAAGGGGATCAGTGCAGGGGATTGGTGCAGGAGATTCTGGATAGAGTGGTAGGAAAATGTGGAACAAAACTCAAAATCACACAAAAAAAAAAAAAAAAAAGAGGTTTGCTGGTCTGATGGGGCCTGGTGAGACCCCTGAGACTATGGCCCTTAGCTACCCTTCAGGTCTGGAACTGAACTCCATCCTGTGGCTTCCAGCCAAACAATAAACAGGCATATGGGGTGAACATTTACATCAGGAAGATACACTCCTTGTAGGGATTAATCCGTGGGAGACCAGTAGGGCAGTGTTTGCATAGGGAGACAGCTCAAGGGGCAGAGTACATGGAAGGGAAGGACACAGGGAAGAAGTAACCACAGGGAGGAACTGGGAAGAGAGCTGTTACATTGTGGGGAATTGCAGTCAAGGTCATGAAACAAATGATGTACGAACTGCTGTATGGAAAATGAATTTGCTCTGTAAACGTTCACCCAAATCACAATAAAAATAATAAAAAAAAAAGCAGCACAGGTCACGGGGTCATGGGGGAAAGGAGGTGGTAAGATGAGAAGGGGAGATAGATTGATTTAAACATGCTATGCACTGCCAGCTTTGAAGATGGAGGAAAGGGCCACGTGTCAGGAATACAGGCAGTCTCCATAACCTGGAAAAGGCAAGAAGGATTTCCCCTCTCGAGCCTCCAGAAAGGACTCAGACCTGCTGACACCTCAATTTTCGCCCAGTAAGCCCTACTGTCTCACTTCTGACCTCCAGAACTGTAAAACTGTAAATGTGTATAGTTTTAAGCCACTAAATTTGTGGTAATTTGTTACAGCAGCAATAGGAAACGAATACAATATAATCCCGAAAGGATGTCTCCTTGGCCAGTAATACATAGTAACCAAAACTTACTTTCTAAGAGGGAATGATCTCGAACAGCTTCTGCAGCTAATACAGACTTCCCACAGCCTGCCATTCCATATATGGTGACCCATCCCGGTTCACCATTCAATCTGGAGAGCTTCTGCTGAATTGTATTAACCAGCTTCTTCCGAGTAACAAAAACAACCGGCCTCTGTGGTACTCCACCTTCACACAGAACGGTCCTTACTGAAACCCAAAATAAACAAGCATGAATAAACAGAACTGGTTTGAAATGGTTACTCAAGTAAAAGGTTACTCAAGTAATGCCATGAAAAACCAAAAGAGCCTTAGAATTTCCAGAAGGAGTAAGAAAAGTGGCTAATACATTAACATCAACTTTCTGACACCCAGAGCAAAAGCAAATACGTATGTTTCAAGGTGACTGTGGGCAATCAAAGTCTCTGTAGCTGTCCTTACCCACCCTATTCCTCCCAGACTCTCTACTCTCTTTTTCTCATATTAAAAACTGAGAAGAAGAGTGTAAAGAGAAGATTATTTATGGAATTTCTTTTAGGAACATTTCTAAAGATTATTATTCTTTCTTATACATAATCTCTATAAACACACACAATTAGAGAAGAACTTAAATAAGAACCTATTCTTATTATCTCTAAAAATTAGTATATGTACATTAACAACTCAGCAGTGAACAGGTTACTGGGCAAAAAGAAAATGTGAAGGTTAACATGGATCTGAATAAAAAATATTAAGCCTAGAAAACATCACAATTTTTTCACACGCATTTTCCAGTGAGCTGATCACAGTGCCTTGGGCAGACTTGGGTAGACAAAACTACAGCAATGCAGCCAATGTGATAGACAATATCATAAATACAAACCATATGAAGTTATCCCATCAACCGAATCTTTGCCATTGGAAGACGAGACAACAGGAACACCACCATGGAGGAGGGCAGCCAGATCTCTATACCCCTCATGTAGTAGAGCTTTGTAAAATGATATGTAGGAATAATTATCTTTTTTAAGAATCATTTTAATTAGCATAGCTGCTCGTTGCTGTTGAGTGGGCTAAAAAAAAAAATAAATAGTTTAGTGTATAACAATTAACGTATCTGTAAGAAAAATTAATGAAGACCAGTGTAAGTATCTGAAATAAATTCTAAAATATTTCAAGACATCAGAACCACCTCAAGGGTCTTTACCTCAATTTTTACTTTTTCCTCTTCTGCTACTGTTAAAACTCCATCACTAATCATGTGATCCATGATATAGGAGGTCTTAATGTCCCTCTCCAGGGCTTCTCTGTGTTGAAGTAAACAATTACGAGCTTTTGCATCCATCCTCCCACAAGCTTTTCTCTCTCTTCTGAGCTGTCAACCATGGGCTGCAGACAAACCACCAAAATACACGTCAGGCCAACAAACATATGAAAAGACTTGCAACCTGGTAATCAAGAAACGTATATATAACAAGATTTTTTTTGGTAAAAATTTTTGTAAATGAACAAAATCCAGTGTTTTGAAGGTATAAGAAAATGGATGCAGCTTTTCTGGAAGGCAGGATGGTAAGATATAGAACTATTTAAAATAAGCATTCTGTAGTAGTTAACGTTACGGGTCAACTTGGCTAGGCCTGGTTATGAGTGACTGGGCAGCTGGATGTAGTTATTCCCCATGATGAGACTGGTAATCAACTCCATGGTGGCATCTACTGTGAGCAGCTGAGTAGCTGCCTTAGGGATGTGGTCCGCTCCCAACATGTAAGGAGAAGAAGCTTTAGGCATGGTCTGCAGCTTTTGGCATGCTTGAATCCTGCATGTAGCCAAGTCACTATTCAACAGCCTGCCACGCTGTCTGCCCATCTTGGGACTTTTAATGGACTTGAATCAATGGCCTGCATGTGGTTTGGTAATAGCGGGACTGTGCCTTTTTACTTGTCAACCTTGTTTTTGTCAGCCTCAGCAGCCAGCAGCTGCCTGAGTGAAGAATGCCTCCAGCTTCAGTGGCTTGGGAGCAAGAGGCAGAGCTGAAGCCCAAGGTCAAGGGGCTTTCACACAGCCCCTAGAGCCTGGCACTTTGAGCTCAGACTTCTAGCCTCCAAAACTGTTAAGAGAATGAACTCCTCTTTGTTATAGCCATCCCATTTGTGGTATCTTCTGTTAGAATGGCACTACAGGTAACCAAAACACATTCTCTTTAACTTTCTAAGAATTTACCTCAAGAACCAAAAAGCCAAGGCTGCTGCTATCAAGTGGATTCCATCTGTGGTAGTTCAGTTTGTGTGTCAACTTGGCTTGGCCTGGTTGAGTGGTTGGGAAGCTGAATGTAGTATTCCCCATGAGGAGACTAGTAATCAACTCCATGGTGGAATCTACTATGAACAGCTAAGTAGTTGCCTTGGTTATGTGGTCTGCTTCCTGTATATAAGAAACAGCTTGGGAATGGTCTCTAGCTTATGGCACACTTGAACCCTGCATGTAGCCGTGTCATTGTTCAGCAGCCTGCCATGCTCTGCCAACCTTGGGACTTAAAATGGACTTGAGTTAATGGCCTGCCGTGTGGTTTGGTAACATCGGGACTGTGCCTTTTTACTTGTCAACCTTGGGCTTGTCAGCCTCAATAGCCAGCAGCTGTCTGAGTGAAGAAAAGCCTCTAGCTTCAGTGGGCCGGGAGCAAGAGGCAGAGCTGAAGCCCAAGGTCAAGGGGCTTTCACCCAGCCCCTAGAGCCTGGCACTTGGAACTCAGACTTCTAGCCTCCCGAAATGTAAGAGGATAAATTTCTGTTTGTTCAAGCCATCCCATTTGTGATATATTCTTGTCAAAGCAGTAGTAGGTAACCAGAACACCATCTCAGAGCAACCTAATAGGACAAAGCAGAAATGCCCCATAGGACTTCCAAGACTATAGTCTAATTTATGGAAGCAGACTGCCACATCTTTCTCCCACAGAGCAGCTGGTAGGTTCTAACCACTCATCTTTTGGTTGGCAGCCAAGCATTTAACCATTGTGCCACCAAGGCTCCTTTACCTTAAGTAGACATGCACAAGTATATGCAAAAATATCATTTAATGGAGAGTGTTTAAGTGAGAAAAAAAGATGAAAACAATGTAAATGTCCATCATCCTGAATACAGATGAAAAAATGAGGGTACACGTATCAAATAGAATGTTATACAGCCATTTAAAGTAACACAAATACCTATACATAGACATGGAAAGATGTTCCTAATACATCACTGAGAGATAACATAGAAATATGTTCCCATATATAACACAAAACATGTTTGTACCAAATAAATAACGAGATTTTCAGAAGTTTGTTCATCAAATGTTTGGGTAATTCTGAGTGAAATAAGTCAATCGCAGAAGGACCAATATCATTAGACCTCACTTAAAGACAGGAAAAGGCACATGTATAGAGACCAAAGGAGCTCTGGTAGCATAGTGGCTAAAGCACTTGACTGCTAACCAGAAGGCTGGCGGTTCAAACCCACCAGCCACTCCTCGGAAGGAAGGTTGGGCAATCCTACTTCCGTAGTGATACTGCCTCGGAAACCCAAGGAGGGGTCGCTATGAGTCGGGGCCGACTCCACGGCACATAACAACAACAACAACAACATAGAGACCAAAGTTTATTAGTGGTTACCAGGGGCAGGAAGAAGGGAGAAAGGGAGGGGCTGTTGTTTACAGAGGAGCCCTGATGGCGCTAATTGAAAGGTCAGCAGTTCAAACCCACTACTAACTCCAAAGGAAAAAGATGTGGCAGTCTGCTTCTGCAAAGATTTGCACCTTTGGAAACTGTACAGGACAGCTCTACTCTGTCCTAAAGGGTCACTATGACTCAGAACTGACTCCACAGCAATGAGTTTCTCGTGTATGGAGTACTAAGGTTCAGATGATGGTGATAAAAAAAATCCACCAAAGGAGCTCTGGTAGCATAGTGGCTAAAGCACTTGACTGCTAACCAGAAGGCTGGCGGTTCAAACCCACCAGCCACTCCTCGGAAGGAAGGTTGGGCAATCTACTTCCGTAGTGATACTGCCTCGGAAACCCAAGGAGGGGTCGCTATGAGTCGGGGCCGACTTGACGGCACATAGCAACAACAACAACAACATAGAGACCAAAGTTTATTAGTGGTTACCAGGGGCAGGAAGAAGGGAGAAAGGGAGGGGCTGTTGTTTACAGAGGAGCCCTGATGGCGCTAATTGAAAGGTCAGCAGTTCAAACCCACTACTAACTCCAAAGGAAAAAGATGTGGCAGTCTGCTTCTGCAAAGATTTGCACCTTTGGAAACTGTACAGGACAGCTCTACTCTGTCCTAAAGGGTCACTATGACTCAGAACTGACTCCACAGCAATGAGTTTCTCGTGTATGGAGTACTAAGGTTCAGATGATGGTGATAAAAAAATCACATTAAGGGTAGGTTTGCACAGTGGATTATTTTAATTGCTGTCAATAATTTGTACACCTGTAAAAACTTGAATTGGCAAATGTTTGATGGGCATACTTACACTAACAAAAAAAGAAAAAGCTGCTGAGGCTGCTTATGGGCAACCAAGTTTCTCACAAATTAGGTTCCCTGGTGTGGTAGTTATATTTGTGTGTCAACTTGGCTGGGCCTTACCAGCTCACGGGGGAGAAAGCTTGATGCCTTTGGTTAGGCAGCTTCCTGGTGGAGTGGGTTGCATTCAGGCATTAATTGGTAGAAGAGACCGGCTTGAAATGGAGTAGTAGGTTGGCCAGCCCATGGCGCAAGAAAGTAAAATGTCCTTTGGTGCAAGAAGATTCCTGGTGGAGTGGGTAGCCCTTGGGCATTCATCAGCAGAAGCAGAGACCAAGGAAACGGAAACAGAGCTGCCTCAGCCTGAAAGGGTAGGATCAAGGCCTTTGGGGGTGGAACCACCACAGCCCCCTAGGTTTCAAAGAGCCAGGCCTTCACCAACTTGGTTCTGGAGCATGGGGCTGCTAGTTCACGTGAATCAGTGTGATGGAGCCATAGCCGTTGCCCAAGAGTGAGGGGGCGGGGCTGCCATGCCCAAGAGGGAGAGGAATGGGGAGGGCCATCAGGCCAAGGGCGTGAGGCCGCCATTTAGAGGAACTAGGGAACTGGGGCCACCCAGTGGAGAGATCGAGATCTGTACAGATGCCAAGTTGACAAGGGGTGGAACTGTGGTAGTTCAGTTTCTGTGTCAACTTGGC